CTGATGTGATAATGCTAGAAAGATGGACGATTGCTGCTGAAGCTAATGAGAGAAATGGAAGTATAGGCGCATTAATGAAAAAGGAAGAAGTGCTATCACAGTTTATTCTGGCATGTAAGAAGAACAGAGACGACAAAATTCTTATATTGGAATTCAGCTTATTTTCAATACAATGGTTTTGTCTTCCGCCGTCATTTACAAAGACGTCTAGATTGATTAGTTTTTAACAGAGGTATATAAAAAATGGAATAGATGGATTACTGAAAGACCTTTGTCATAGCAGATGCAAGGGATGTGGGCATTCTCTTCCTCCTTCCAACGTCTCAGCAAAATGAATGAATTCTGAAATAGATGTACTCTGAAGAATGTACAACACACGTGGCTTTTGGCTACCAGATGCTGTTTTCACTCACATTACCAAGAGCAAAGTTTGCTTTACCAGAAACACATTTGTTTGAGAAATTTGTTATAAAGAACAGTTGAAATCCTTTAATTAAAGCATTTACTAACATAAAACAAAGATAGAGAGAAAAAAAGAATCTCACTACCTGGGCTTACTTGATTGAAAAGGCTGGTGTTGGATTATTTAGCAAATAGAGACCTACGTAGGTCTCTGTATTATTATATTATGCCTTCACTTAAAGAAATTAGTACAAGAATTCACACTGTAGTTCAAGAGCCATAATATTCAATTACAGTGATTTTTATTTCTTCTAATTAACGTATTCATACAAATGAATTGAAAGGTGTAATCACAAACATCGGTTGCTCCCAATCCATCATCATATTGCTAACAGATCTAGCTTAATCACATTCTACCAGGTTTTTTTAATTACACAAATTACTAGTCAAGTCTCATTTCACGTAGTCTCTGAATGGATACATTTTGTTCATCAGAGTTAAGTGAACTTTGCAGGAGACTTGCTGTTTTACTTGTTCTTTCACCCATATAATTAGAGCAATTTAATGAAAAATAATTAAAGACCTGGTCTAAAATTTCATCCCCTGAAGGACTTTGCAGGATAGAACTGGTATCTATCAACTCCCTGAGAAATCGTTACAAAAATTAACAGTTTTTACTTTAAACAAGTTCCTCCAAAGGAATTCAGACATATAAAAACAGTACAGTTCTGCACGTTAAACTGAAACTGATATCTGCTGTCCAAGAGCGAGCCTGGGACAACCTCTTAACACACATACAAGATGGGCCAACGAGGTCCCAGCCACTCACAATCACAGAAGTGCTAGGGAGCACGTTAATCCCTGGCAGCCTTGGTTGCAGCAGCCATCAGAGTGGAATTTGTGATCCTGAGGGAAGGAAGGAAGGCAGTTTGCAAATCTGGAGCTTCAGGAGAGCAGACTTGGGCTTGTTCAGTGAATTGGTAGATGGGATCATGTGGGAGGTAGCTTTGAAAGGCAAGTTTGAGAGAGCTGACAGGTTTTCAGAGACAACCTCCTCCTAACAAGGATGGCCCATCCTGAGGGGGAGAAAAAAAAAGTCTAGACTATCAAGAGAGTGACATGGCTAAATGGGGAACTCACATCTGAGTGTTGATGTAAAAAGAACATTAAAAAAAAGATTGAAGCAAAGACAGACTTGAAAGGAAGAACGCTGATAAACTGCCTGGGCATGCAGGGTTCCCGTTGGGAAAAACAAAGTTCAATGAGAGTTGAAACTAGCAAGGGACGCGGTAGGCAACACGAGTTTCTGCAACTACTTTAGCAATGAAATTATAAAAAACATGTGGAACCACTATTGAGTAAGGCAGTGATTAATGAGAGGTATTCAATGCTCTTTTTGCCTCTCTTTGCTGTTTTCCCAAGCCTTTGGTCCTTGATTTAAAGAAACAATGAGAAAGAGGAAACAGTTATGTATCTCAAAAAATTTCAGCTCAGAAAAGTCTGCAGGGCCTGACTGGATGCATCCAAGAGTGGCTGGCTAATGTTACTGCAAAGCACTTCTCTATTATCTTAGAGGGGTTATTCCATATAGCCGGATGGACAGCTGGCTGAACTGTTTCGCTCAAAACCCATTGGTTAACAGAAAGTACAGGAAGGTTTCGTAAGCCAAAACAGAAGGTTCCAACTTGATGAGACAAAAAATGAAATAATTTTCCAGGGTTACAGAAAAATGCAGTGAAATAAACACTTCACTCAGTCAATTATATTTTGCAGATTACTATTTTGCCATACTAAGTTATGGTATGTTAACTTAATGTACACGAATGGCTTTAGAAGAAAGACTTTCATTAGCATGCTGGCTAGGTATAACTTAAGTATTGTGTTCAGAGAAATAATTTTTAGTAACAAAGTTGCAGTTTAAGGTATTGCTTAAAATTCTTGATTACATACCAGAACATTAGCATTACCAGGAATAGATATCCTATTCTTGATTATGTAATCAAGATTATGTAGTCAAGAAAAACTTCTGAAAATAATATTCAGAATACAAACTACTTTTAATCACCAGCTAAATACCAAGATACTGGCACTGATTACTTCATTGCTCTAATGACATCTGTAATGGATTCCAAGTGTTGTGCTTGATTGCTTCCCAGCTGATCAGGATTCTGTTCATCACTTCTAGCTGCTGGCATTCTGAGATTTCTTGGAGTTCCTTTGCACAGGCCTCAAACTTGCTTCAGATGGAAAGCTACAGCGTGTGCTTTAAAACAGTTGTTATAAACAGTCAATTCTCCATGATAAAACATATTAGAAAAAGAATGTTTGGGGTTTTGTGTTTATTTTATTTACAGGCAGTGGTTACAAAGCAATAAAATCCAAAGAACCTGATAGACATCAGCCAACAGATCATAACATCTCAGCTGACTGTAGCTTTCTTTAATAAAGTATGCTGCAATAGTAACAATGATACACTGCCATCAGCCCTGACTTTAATGTAGTTTTAATATAGCTGATAAACACAAGTGATTTAAAAGGTAATCTGAGATACTGAATAAGATACATGTAAGCAAAATTCATAGTTGCTAAAATTAAACAAAAGCCTTATGTAATTTTTAATTATTCCTACTTCCTTTTATTGAACTAAGACGGGAATTATTTTTAGAGAGACTCCTCTGCGGAACAGCATGGAACAACTGAAGTACCATACAAGTACAAACATGCAGTATCAAGGTCCAAACATTGCTGGCTAGAGCAATGAAATTGTATTTGAGAGGTAATGTGTTTGAGAAATATGACATCTCAAGCACAGTATTAGTACCAGAAAGAGACTTGTGCTATTTGGTAATGGAATATGAGAGATCTTTTGGCTCTCTTTTTTTTTTTTTTTTTTTAATCTGGGCTATCACTGATGCACACTACATTTTCAAACATGCCCACAAGTGAATAAATCTAGGAAATCATTCCTCCCTGAGTAGGAAGTCACCTTGATTCCTAGAGTTTAGCATGTAATGTGGCAGAAAACTAGAAAAAACAACTGCAGTATTTCCAAGTATTTCAGAAACCATCACTGTGAAGAACTTGGAAAGATTTCATTTTTAACATCAGGAGATTTCCATCTGATTAAAAAAAACAACAACAAAACACAGCAAATAAGTTCTTATTTGCCAACAGCTTGGCTTCCTAACACCAGTGTCTTGCAACGTCTTATAAATGAACAGCTATTAACAAGTCACCCCAAAGAAACTGTCAGAACAAGAAGTTGTTAAAATGTAGTGAGGGCTGTCTCACTTTGAAATATATTTTCTCAGATTTTTTATTTAACCTTTTTTGTGATCTGAAAGAGTTCCTATTCCAGAGACTGAGAAAAAAAAGTAGGAGAAAATTGTCTGAAAAGCCCATTATTTCACTTGAAAATACACATACACACAGTTTAAACTATTGTTTCAAATTATTTTAAACACACAGATTCAGATTTACCTCTCTTAAATATTTTTTCTGTCAGCCTTGAAGTATCACATTATATCTCTCTGCCCTTTGGGCAAATAGTGACAGAATGCTAATCCCGAGATGTCTCTATGAAACGCAATGATTCGCTTCTATCTCAGGCTCTCATCAGTTTGGGCAGAAAGACAAAGGGCTGACTGCAATGTTGAGTTTATATGGTTACTAGCATAAGACACAACAAATCATCTGCGCAAAACTACAGCAGTGAAGTAGGATAAGTATTGTTGGTTCAGTTGTGAGAAAGATGTCCAGTACACTCAGATCTTGCTGTGCAGTTAAATGCCAGGAAGCACCATCTCAGGAAGAGTGAAGTATGAAGGACTCCCATTTCTGCAAGCTCTCTTGTTGCATCATTGCACTGTCAAGTGCATAGCTAAGACTGTCTGCAGCTCGGCTTGTTACCAGGGCTAAGAAATCAAAGATGGTTTGCACAGATCTGCTTTTGAGACCACTTGTCAATTTGCAAGGTTACTTCCATTCAGAAAGTATGAGTCTATTTTAAAGTTACAGCTGTGAAATTTTGGAACCCACCTTTCTATATCCTCTATTGTTTTTCCTGTGGCTATACACTCAAAGACACTGATCTCTGCTTCCTACAGCAACATGACAGAATGCTACAGCTTCAATTTGCTGACTTTTAGCATTTTAAGAATTTAAATATTGAAGCAGTGGAACTTATTAAGCTTTAGAAAGAGCTTTGCTCACTTTGGTAGCTATAGCTACCTTTCTTTTTACTTAGCATTGTTTTTCCCAATGGCTAGAATCACTGTTTAGCTTATCAAAGCAATTTGTTTAGAATAAAGAATTTTAATATGTCCTCTCAAGATGCTTATTTCAAAGTGCATTTCCTCAGGGCTAGCCCCAAACCCTGACCCTAGCAAACAAACAAACAGCTAACAGAAATGCCCCCCTGAAATTAGAAACACATAAAATAAGATGAACAAATGAGACTATATCTCAAAAATAATCTAAAAAAAAAAAATTCTATTTTTTCCAAACACCAAAATAGTAGGATACGAAATGCTATGAAAGCATACTGTGAAGTAAGGAAAATAGATTTATGATCCACTCCACAGTTTTAATTGCCTTACCTGGCATTCCATGGATAAGATCTCCACACAACACAAAGAACTTGGGTTTAGGGTTTAGTTTGTTAATGGCCTGTACTGCTTGCTCTGTTAATTTGATTTCTTCTCCCCATTCATCATCTCCACTTCCTGTATTGCCAACTGCCCAAGCTTTTATTAGTCCAAATTGAGGATCTGCTCCTTGGATGAAGTAGAAAGGTCCCTTCCATTGGTACTCATCACCTAAAAACATTGAAAGAATTAAAAACTATAAATAAGTAAATATTGGCTTTTCTTTACCTACATAAGTTAAGGCCATATTAAAGAAGTATAGAATTCTTTATTCATTTGTATTGGACAAATATAAAGGCAGAAGTATAAATTTTTCTTCTAATGGGTAGCTGTAGTAAATGAAAGTATATTAATCTAATTTATACACCGGTAATTGCAGACTAATTAGAGGAAAACTATGTAAAGAACTCAGTAAATACTGTTGGGAAACGCAAAATTACAACACAGCAGAAGCATATGACATTACATTTCACTGGATTCTTTCAAGGCTCCAATAATTGCTCCTTTAGTTAACAAGTTAAAACATACACAACATGCTTTACACTTCACCATTTCAGTAGGTAGTTAAACATTATTGAGTTAAATGCTTCTGTAACACATTTGCTAGAGTTAAGAGATGAAGCCACTGAATAGAACCAAAGTCAGCAAATGCAACCCCAGCAACACTGAATTAGCAGCAGGAATGGAGAGAAGTTGTAACTTGAACTGTCGGATAGCTCCTGGGAACTACTAGGAAAAAGAATGCCATTTGTAGAGTCAGTGCAGATGAAGGATACAGTGGGATTTGTTCTGCTACAGTTTTCTTGCATACTTCTTTCTTTGATACTACAATACCAAGTAATACAAGTGTGATACATAACACTGGCTACTACCAGCTATAAACATAAAATGTTACCCTGTTCCCTAAACTTACCTATCAACTCTAAATGAAAGTGCAAACCAGTACACTGTCGTTTTTGTAGCTCTAAACATATTCATTTGCAACCCAAATATTTCAGACTGGACAACTGGATCTCCTTCCCACTTTTTACTCTTCTGAGCATGTCTAATTCATACACTGTTTAAAACACTTAGTTTTTGTTTTTTTGTTTTTTTTTTTTTTTTTTTTTTTTTTTTTTTGTTTTTTTTTTTTGGTTTTTTTTTGGTCAGTATTTCAATCATCAAAATGTCATTGACTACATTGATGTAGCTGAACCTGGGAAAAAAAAAAAACCCAAAACAATACAGCAAACAGTCTCAAATTATACTATAGGAATACGTTTTTATATAATGTCAGTCTTATCCAAAACAGCTTGAGTCGATCCTGGGTTCATCCTCCACTAACAGTACATAAGCAAGCAGCATGCCTATCACATGGGTTTACTTACGGTTTTCTTTTAAGTGGTCTAGAACTGGACCTTCTAACATTGTAAGATGAGTAATATGATTTTGTCAAGGAAGGTAAGACAGCAGGGGTTAGAATTCAGCTGCATGGTGGATATGGATGGGTAGGGGTGGAGGAGAAGGAATGTGGGCAACTCCTTGTAGCATGCTGCTGCCTGTTGCTATGGCATCAGATGATTTTGCTAAATGCAAGCATCTACATTTTAGTTAATGTAACATTTAAGGATCAGAATTACTTATCTGATAAAATTGTTTGCTAATTCATACTGGCATTCCTTGTTATGCATCATAATCCTGTTTTATAGATAGAACTTTCAGATTTTAATTCTGAAATGAACTTTTCCAATTACATAACTTACTTGGAGAAGCAAAATGATCTACCCATGAGTTTTCAGTAGAAGCCTTATGGAACTGCTTCAATAGCACAAAGCAGTTTAGGTTTTTATTGTGTGTTTTGCATGAAAAAAATTATAAATATGACTGTCATAAAAATCAGCTTGTGTGCTGCAAAGGCACTGTCTGCGCAGAGAAATTATCTTACAAGTTTTATAAGTGGAAAGTTATGCCAGCTTTTTTAAGTCATGTCTTTATGAGAAATCTTTTACAGCTTATACAAAATAAGGCTGGAAAGAGAAAGTTTGACACAAGACCTTGTTGAGGAGAAGTGCTACAACCTCAAACTCATCAAATAGATGCTTAGGGAAAAAAAAGCTGAGATTCTGAACAAAGCGACCAGACGCTTAACACCTGTCCCTTTGAGACAGTAACTTGGAAGCAAGATCTACTTACTTTGCATTGATGAATCTGAAGCCAATAGCTTTTACAATAGTAAGCTAAATAAATATAAAGGCATTTGTCTATTTTTACAGGAACCACTTTGAAAATAGAAGTAATATTTGTTTTGAAGGATGAAGTTTCACTTTTAGGCATATGGTTTCTCTCCCCTCCTGAGCCCCTGGGGTGGCACAGCAGCTGGTGCAGCTGCAGCAGCCCGGGCAGTGGGATCAGACCTGGAGCCAGGTGATGAGGAGGTGCACCCATAGTGTTTGAGTAGAGAAAAGCAGCAAGCAGGCAGTGTGCTTTCTGGGAGCCTGCAGAGTGGGAACAAAACAAGTCGCAAGGCCAGAGCAGAGGCTATTCTAATATAAGCTTTGTGGAGTTTTTCCTCCCCTGCCTTATATCTATGCCAATACAGTAACTCTGTAGGTTGTAAGCATCTGAATGTTTCCAAGAGTGAGCACAGATGCTCCTGTTTGAGTGGGTGGGTGATGGTCATGTGAGGAAGAGAGAGACACACACATAGAAAAGATGAATTTGTAAAGAGAAGTTCAGTACACAGACAGAATCAAGAAGTGGAAGAAAAAAGGAGAAACAGAAGATGCAGGGGTGGACGTGGAGAAGAGTGGGGAGAAAAGGAAAGAGATAAGAGGTGAAAAGAGAAAAACTGAAAGCGATGCTACAATCCCATGTGGGAAAGAAAGATAAAAAAGAATAAACTTAAGAAAATGAAGTGGGGGGGAACAGGAGAGATACAGGAATCAGGATGATATAAATAACGTTTACTTAAAGAATTAGTTTAATTAACTGATCTTTGTCAAATAATATACTCAAAAGCTCTTTTTGTGTGTGTTTTTTTTTTTTTTGAGAATTTATCAAATAGTTAAAAAAAATTACAGTGACATTGAATACATTTTCTGTACCATTTCCTTATTGCTCTATTACTCCAACTAGAAACCCAATTAAAAAAAAATAATCCTACCAGTATTCAAACGAATTTGAAACAGCTTATTTATCATGTGGTATTTATCGATTTAGCTTAGTACATACCAAATTCTCCACAAAGAAATTCCCAGTACAATTCATGCAAACAAAAGAATATATGGACATCCACTTTACTTATCACTTAAGTGTTTGTTTATCAAGAACATGGTTCCTTTACTATGAAGTACTATGAACAAAAGAAAAACATCATAAAGGAAATTGTATTAATACAACAGCAATGGTGACAGTTAGCACATTCATCAGTACAGTCAATTGCCGTGGAAAAAGTCCACCTTCTGAAACTGTTCTTATGCCTCAGTTTCAATAGCTTCCCACTCTTACTCCACTCCTATGCACGCCAAAGTACAGAGGATCAGTGCAACATATTTTTAGTTGCATAGGCTGAAAAATGATGCCAGCTTCTAATTTTATCTAATGATCAATCCTGCAAAGGGCCAAAGCAGTTGGCAGCAACATGCAGGAGAAAAGCTCAGTGGTGCATTGTGCTCACAAACACAAAGATTCCAACAGCCTAGATGGGACCTGAGTCAAACCTCGCCATTTCTAGAAGAGAACAGCTAACATCTCCATGTGCCCTTATTTCTTCCCCTTTTGCTCTTTGTAATGTCTTCCCTTTTCTTCCCCCTTTCTCCGAGGATCACAAAGGTACATGCTAGAGACACATCATCACAAGCAGACTCGTGACAGCCCCACAGTACTGGTGGCATATCCAGTGCTTCCCAGGTGGGATTTTCAACAGCAGTGAGATGTACCTTTGAGGCTGGTTTGTTTTTCTTCTAGACTCTACAACATTTCACAGAAATGAAGCATTTAGGAGAAGTTATTCTTGCCTGCATCTGTAAGTGGACACTATGATATCAGAGGAGAATGGATGTAGGCACACAGCTTGTGTTTGTTCAGTATAACAAGGGCAGTAACAAATACAAAAAACGGCAGATAAATACAAAAAGGGCAGTAACAAATACAAATCACACATTTTGATGTTGGATTTGCCAGGGGACTTAATGTCACTTCTCTGAAAGATCACTGAAGCAACTGAAATGTGGGTTTTCGTCATGTTTAGAAGTCAGATTGCTAATCGAAGATTAAATACTTTTGTTTTGCTTTTAGCAACTTCTGAAACATTTTATTTTGGAAGATATAGATGGCCCAAGTCCCTCTTCTGTTTTTACATATGAAATGACAGGTTCAGTACATGCTTTCTTGCTCTTGTCTATAAAATACGCCCATGACTTTTTTTCTAGATTAGATTGGATTGAAAGAACATCTTCGGTGTTTTAAAAAAAGATATAAGCAGGAAGCAAAATGTAAATTTTAATTAGTTTATTTATTTATTTAGTGAAGGCAGTATTTGTACATTACAAGCAGAAGAAATGGCAAAAAAATCATTGCAACTGTTTCGCAGTTTACCTTTAAGACAATTTGTTTTCATTCCTCTCACTTGTGTCATGGCTTAAAAACCAGTAAGGTACTTGCCCCAAACCCTTAATAGTTTCTTGTTTACTATTAAAACATTATCAATAGTTTCAAAAAACACCACTATTACTACTTGGATGTCCAAACAAAAGATTTCAATCTAATTAAGTGTTCATTCCTTTTAGCTGGGTTTTCCTGGAGTACCTGAGAGACTACCACAAGGTATGACAGTAGAATTCTGCTGACTGACCAAGGGGAATTATTCTCAAATCATTTAAGCAATGCTACTATTTTTAAAATATAAACTTCTAAAACGTCAAGGTAAGAAACGCCCCCTCAAACACAATTTATGTGTACTGAGGGCTATTAAATGCTAAATCCTAGTCATGCCCACCCCCAAATTTAATATATTTATATATTTAAATATATATTTATATTATTACAAACTTACTGCAGAAAATACACTAATTTCTTCATCCCAAGACTATTGGTGTGAAGGGGGATGACTTGCACAATGACAAGGTGTGGTCACAGAAGGTTGCTTAAAGCCCACTCAAGATATGCCTCATTCATATGAGAGTTGGAGACAGTATTAGGAATTAGAATATGCCAGCTGGGAAGCTGCTCTTGATTTGTTCTGACCAGAGGAAAACCTCACTCAAAAATACTGCATTGAAGAACTCCAGGGTGGTAGTTATAATGTGCAGAGATCCATCCTTCACGTGAAAGCAATAAAAAAGAAACCAACTGCAGTTGTATTTATTTTCAAAGGAAAGGGAATTATATATAATTTCAAAGCTTTTAAAAAGAGCAGAACTCCTTAAAGGCAGTGTGGAAACTGTTCAAAGACACTGTTCCAGAGGTTCAGACCATATGCGCAACGTCTTCTGAGAACTTGAGAAGACAAAAAGAATCCAGCTTGACTAACCAGTAAGAGTCAAGAACAACTGGAAAGCATATTAAAGCCCTTTTCAGAGGTGTGATGAGAGGGCAGATTGCCAGAATGTCATTTAGACTAAAAAACATGCAAGATGCACCCAAAGATAAAGACAGGAAACAAAGTTCTACAGCCATGTTCATTGCAGAAGAACCCAAGAACACAATCCTCCCTTACAGACAGAACATGTTTGACTGGAATCATATCTGACATTATTTATTGTGGTGATTTCACCTTTCTCATCAACTCTGATCTGGTCATGGCATTCATTTCCTGTACACCCTACCATGAATTTAGACACTGAAAGATTCTGAGGGCATTAGGAAATGCTCCCTCCTGCATCACACAGTTGCCCTACAACTCTTTTCTCATACATACTGGATACCATGCAAGAAATACAAATCCTATTTCCTCCACTTAAGAAAAAAAAAAAAAGACCTGACAACAGCTGATGGCACTATCACTAGTTTAATTACTTTAAAAAAGAGCTCGACATATTTCCACAGAAATTCTCTGTATGGCATGGTATTAGCATTAGAGGTTTTGGGACAGGTAGTGGAGAAGATGACGGTATTTACCCTAAAATACACTCCTGTATATATTCAGTATAAGACCAATAAAACTAGTAGACATCTGAAGTGTCTTTTCTGCCTATGTGAAATTACAGAGGATATATTTAAAAAAAAAGAAAGACAAAGAATACAGAGGTCTCTTTTCAATAAAGTGAAGAACTGATGTGTTCCTTGCTCCAACGCTCCAGCAGCTACATGGGTATTTTAGACCTGTTTGAGCTTTTGGTTCATGAGTGATATATGAAGAGTGGATCAGAGCACATCTTGTGTAGGCAGACTGAACAGATGACTATTAGGGGATAGGTGCAAAAACATGACTTTGCAGAAGAGCTTAGAATTAAAAAAAAAAAAAAAAAAAAAAGGAAAGAAAGAAATTAAGCCCTAAGGGGTGATTCTCAAATTGTGAAGGAAGTACTGTGCCAAGCTAAAGTAGTGCTGGCAAATATTTTGTGTGGTTATCTAACAAAAGGAATAATTCCTGGAGAATGAATGAATGCTAAGATGGAGGGAAACACACATACACAAACTCAACAAAAGAGATCAGATTCAATTGATTTTCATTCTAAATAAGAAGAAACTTTGCCTCAGTTTTGTTAACCCTTGATTATGTTTTTTTTTTAAACTCTTTATCATTAAAAGGTTGTGTTGAACTTTAGTCTCTAAAGAAAGAACTAGTAAAACATTAACACAGAAACAATGTACTCAGAGATGGCAGGTGGACTATGATAGCTAACACATCCTAAACAAGCCAACAGTAATTGACAGAAGTCTTAACACAATTTGAAGAATATCAAACAACAAACTTCAAAAGAAAGGGCACTTGGATGACTGATACCTAAATCACATTTTTTCATCCATGTTTAAGGCAGTTTTCAAGAAATACTTGTTACGGTTTTTTGTTAGAGATTTTTACTCTGCCTTTGAACACTCCTTTTATTACAGTGGATGTAACTAAATGGCTTGTCTGTCATCTGTCTCCTCAGTAATCGCCACACATCCTGTTCCAAACCAACCAGAGCATCCGCAATTATCAACAGGCTGCCAGAATGACTGAATATGTATACTTCACACGCTCAGAATTATCGTCTTCTTTTTGTTTAGCAACAAGTAAATATTTCCAAATAATAGCCAAGAAAATACCACAAAATTGCTGAGATTGAATAGCCCTGCCCACCTCATAAAGACATATCACATATATTTTATAAAAAACTGCATGGAAACAGAACACCTTCTACGTGTGAAAGTACTAAAGAACCGCTGAAGATGGAGCTTGTTATGTGCCTGAGAAGCCCAGGAGAAGGTCAGAATGCCCATCCTTACAGAACTCTACGAGTAGATGAGAAGCACGTTGTGAATATCCACGTGTATTTGTTGGACCATCCAAATGAGCAGCAGCAGCAGGTGAGAGCCATCTCTGGCCTCACAGCAGCCTCAATATTTAATTGGCCTAGGAGGAGGTGAGTGTGGAACCACATCTGCTGCCAGCCCAAGTGGGTTACGGTGCTGTCTCAGTGCCAGGCGAGGAACCAGCAGCGGTCCTCCACCCTGAAGGAGGCTGGAGCACCCCGAAGAAACCAGAACCCACCTCTGTTAAGCAAGCAAAGAACATGCACACAAAGGCGCAAACGTAAAAGCACAATACAACACGTGAGGTGAGAGCACGATGCTGGTGCCAACAGTTTTACAATTTGCGCAGCTCAAGTTCAGCAGCACAAATAGAAAAACCACCATTCATTCTAGATCTGGCGTCAGACGTAGTCGGCCTTTTCCCCGCGGCAGCACAGCCGCCTCCGCCTCCACCGCTCAGCAGCGCAGCACGGAGAACGCCGCCCACAGCTCGCGGAGCTGCCCGCCGCTGCCCGCCACGCACCTCCGGGCCCCGCCGCATCTCAGACGTTCCCCTCCCCGACGGTGGGCAACCTGCCGCTGCCGCTGCCGCTGCCGCCTCGCTGCTCTCCGCTCCCCACCGCGGCCCAGCCCGCCTGGCTGCGGGGCAGAGAATAGAGCCCGCCGGCACGTGCAGCCCCCCGCTGGAGTTCCGCGTACCTTGGCGGAAAGCGGTCAGAGTCCTTCCCCGAGCTCTCTGGAACACGTCCTCCTCTGCCGCCATAACGTTCGCCGCCGAGAGCCGCCGTCTCGTCCCGGACGGCCGAGAGAGTGGCACCGCCTCCGCCGGGGGCGGCACCTGGGCGCGGGGGAGGATCCCGGGGAGGGGCGGGGGTCCGGCGGCGCGGGAAGCGAGCGCCGAGGCTTGGCGGCGCCATGTTGGATGGCGGCACCGGCTCTGGGCGCAGGGCAGGCTCTGCTCACCGCTGCTGAGGCATTTCGGTGGCAACAAACAGACAAAACCCGCCGAAAACCTGCCTGATTTTCCTGCAAACCTGAAGCCTAAAAGCATCAGGAATTTCCTGATCACCTCGAAGGGATGCTTTTCAGTTGAGGTTTCTACAGTCTTTGTCTCAGTTTTGCTCTAAAAGTTGCTCATGGAATCATTTTCCTGACAGAATGGTCACAATCCCATTAATCTGCACCTCGTGATATGCAGAGCTCAGTGCTGTTTTGTTCAGCATGTGAAATCTACAGGAGAGCACTGGATTAGGTTGCTGTCACTGCCTGTATGTCCTATGATAGGGTTACTATTCCATGGGGTATTTTCCTGAGTGAAAACTATTTTGGTGCCAGTTTGATTCCAGTTTGTAAACTACTTGATGGTGACTAGATACAAAGCGCTAAAGGAGGTCTTTCTACTAGGAAGCTTGTCAATTCCCCTCTTCATGGGGCAACATTTGGTACATTAAGCAAATACGTTGAAATGCATTTGTCAGTCTCAGGTGCAGACTGTATAGATATCCCAACTCCGCCATAGGAATAGGTGATTATGGTCTAATGCTGGAGCAGCTCCTGCTAAGAGAAGCAATTAGGTGAGTGATCCAAAGAGATTTTTGACCTTTTTTTGTTTCTTTTCAGTTTTTTTCTTGCCTGCTAAATAGGGTTGAGCAGTCATATAGCAGAATGTAATCTTTCAAGCTGGATGACTTCTTCTAAAATGCGGGATGGATTTTGCAGTTAAAATGCCATCAAGATCATAAGTAGAAGAGTAATGAGAGCACTACTATCTTGTCAAGACAGCTTACTGCAGTTTTGCAGCGCAAGGCCATGATTTTGACTGGAACACTCGATTTCCTTTTTCTTAACATGGATGTGTTGTGAAAGGCAACTATTTTGCTTAAATCAAGGTATGCATGTCTGAAAGCAAGTGAATCAGCCCTGGCAAAGATGTGGATGGTTACAAACATATGGACTCTAAAAGATTCTAGATTTTATACAAATCTCTGTAATTTCCCACCTTTTTTTTTTTTTTTTTTTTTTTTTTTTTTCTTTTTTTTTTTTTTTTTCCCCTAGGCATGTGTAGGGCGTTCTCTTCTACAATTCTGTTGTCAGTGCTGTATTTGATCTCTTTGCATGGTGGGTCATAGATGAGCCTCGGGATGCTCAGCTCTTTCTAGGTGATGAGTGTGGTGTGCATGTAGAGTGCCTGTACTTCCTCCTCTTCAAATGGAATCCTCTGAGATTGCATCTGCATAAGTATTGTCTACTGTGATAAAGGTGCCATGAGAAATGTCCATTTTGTAATTTAAACACATTTTCCTGTGATTTTGCAGTCTAAATGCAGAAATGTTTTAATCTGCAGAAATAAAGGAACATTTGCATATAAATGTGAGAACTGAGGATGAAGAGTGTTTGTGCAGGAAGGGCATTTCTGCTCTCTTCTGTTCCCTTTACATGGCCAAATTTGGAGTGAACAGTTTTAAAGCTTGGATCATGGACCAACTGCTACACTCATTTTACTATGACTAAGTGGTGACTACAGATCTACGTTAGTTAAATATTTTTGTGGACTTATTCCAGATGAAGCTTGGATAAAGCAGCTGAATTTTGTCATAGGCCTGGATTTGTTAAATGAAGCATCATTGATATAATGGCACTGAATAAATAATTTTCAGAATACATATCTGGTCTTATATAGTATAGATTTTAGTATAGTTTAGTATAGTCTTAATAATTTTAAAAACTTAGTGTGAGCATACAGCGGAGAATGTACCATTCTGGAAAAGCAGACAATATGTTGAAAATAAGAAAAAAAGAGAAATGGGGCAGTGAAATGTTTGTGTAAGGTTTAGCTTAGTAATGATCATGATTAGAACAGGGCAGGTCTGAGGGTCCAGATCTAATACTTACCACAGTACATATTAGGCACTACCAATGCAAACAGTTCTTAACTTAGAAGTTCTGAAAGAAAACCCACCAGCTGCAGAAGGTGCACCTTATTTCTTGTTGCAATTTAAAGTATGATTATATGCACCTTGAGAGGCCAAAATATAGTACCTATTAAATCAGTAATTAGTTTTTTTATTTACTATCTCTAATGACTAATTAACATGAAAAGCAACATGGTGAATACAGTGGTTGAAAGAAGAAATCCTTTATCTATTCTTAACAAGTGGTAACAAGATAAATTGGAAAAATGGAAGAATCCGAAAGGTGAAAAAGGCAAAATGGAGTTGATCCAGACATCGGAATTTAAATTACAAAGCACAAACAGATATGCAGATTTGAAAGTAGACCATTTTAATCTTATACATAGAATAGAACAGAATGACTATGTGCCATCTGGAATGCAGGGAATCCAATGTAGGTTGGAGGTGTAAACAACACAGCAAATTTTCAGCATCTGTTTTCACTGCTTGATACTATGATTTATATCAGTCTTCAAGTGACAAGTTAGAAAAAATAGGGGAATTAATAAAACCTGGTGATATAAAAGGTATCGCATCATTGTGTTTGTTTGGAGACAGTATGGACATACACAGGCTGAATAAATAAGGCATACAATGTATCAAGTCTATTTTCTGTTTCTCTTTTCTTCCAGTTCCCATAAATACTGTAACAGGAGAGCACTCTTAGTAGATGTTACCTTTTGGAAGGCCTGGCATCTGACACCCTCCTATTTTTCTACCTCAACAGGTAACAACTGTTTAGTTTTGAAAACTTAAGAGTAGTAGCTTACACTAGCTCATTCTGTTTTCATCCTATTCCATTGCTAAGAATAGAAGACTCCAGTGTGTTGTGGCAATATAAATACATGTACTAAACAAAACCTAAAATGTTGCAAAATACGATAAAATATGATAAAACTTATTGTCTGTCCTTTTGATACTCTGTATGGAGAAAAAAAAAAAAAAAAAAAAGAGTAACTAAGTGCTGACTCGGTATTAAACAGAGTCTTATTAATATTTCACTTTGATACCAAATGGTTTTTCATTTTCAAAGGGTCCACAAAATAAGAAAAAAAAATTAAAATGTTTTGCACAAAACAAAAACGTTGGTTGACCAGGACTGATATTTTCTCACTAGGAAAGAAACAATGATGGCATTGAATTAAGAATTCACAATGTAATTGATTTTTATCTGACTCATTTAGTGTAGGCAGGCTCAATTTGTTCAAGAAACCTGTAATATATTCCTTGAGTCACTGTAACTATGAGAAATATAAAAGTTGATGTAATAAGTTAAACACATTGTTTAACTCAATTTGTTTTGCACACTGATTTCCCATTTCTGACACATACAGGTTTTGTCTAGATAAGAGTTGTTTTTTGTAAGATTCTAGTAGATGTCTTACTCATTTTATGTGCTGCCAAATGTTCAGAAGTTCTACTTCATTCTGGGTGCCTCTGATTTTGTATTTCCCTATCTTGATTGCATTTTCATGTACATACTACTTGCAGATCTTGCTGAGTAATTGAGACCTGTGCTGACAGAAAACAGATTTTTGACACAGAGAACTGGGATAATTTTGACACATTACATTTCTGCTCTGGAAGGGTCACGGAAGTTTAGGTTGTGAGTTTGCACTGAAATTGCTAGACACAGAAGAAAAGAAACACAGCAAGTCTGCAGGACTACAGCTAAGTAACAAAATCAAGGCTTTAAGGGAAGTACCCTCCTCCAAAACTATGCAGAAAAGTTGAGATTGACTGCCAGCTCATACTGAACTACCTAAGAACTTCCTGATTTAAACGTTCCTCTACATGTGTTAAATTCTGTGTAGTGTATAATTTCTGATGATCGCTGAGATGTGTCCAGTCAATTTAGGGGGAAATTAAGCATATAAATACATACAAAAATACTATTCAGAGTATATTTTTATCTCCAGAATACTACAAACTTCAGGTATTTATCGTTTGACTTGGTCTGAGAATAAAAATGAAATATGAGTGCTTTTAATTCACATTTAGATCTAAAACTTGGATTTGTTGGATTTCCTTTACTTTTAGACAAACAGGTTTTCCACTAATGAATAAGCAAAAGCAGCAATCTGCCAAAAGAAGCACTATTTAGTTTGAGCATGATTTTCAGATTCCTTTGTCCTTTGCTGATGACATTGTATTAGAAAAAAATAACCTAGATGATCATTAACCACAGTTGCTATTTCTGAAAAAAAAAAAAAAAGAAAAAGCAGCAGCAGCAATCTTTCAAGTATTAACATTTATTAAACAGTCAGAGAATTTAGATGTTTCTTCAATTAACCACACAACAAGGATGTTCTTGTTTTACTGTTACACTAGTTAACTCAAAATATACAAGGAGAATCTGTTTGTATTCTTGCTCAAACAAAAAGCTAGTTTTAAAGCAGGAAAACAGAATTCATCCTCTTTCTTAAAAAGGGTTTTTTTTTTCTTCTTTGAACATCAACTGTTTAACTTAAATATATTTTTGAGAAACACAGGTGCATCACCAAACTGAACATAAAGAAACAACCTCAGAATGCTCTGAGAAAAAATTGTCATAGTGATTATAAAAAATCTGAGAAAAAGGATCCACAGTCATACCACTTTGAGAAGTTGTAGCTTCTACAGATTGCAGAGTGAGGTTTAGCTGTCCTCTTTTGTGCAAGTGGAAACTAAGTTATAGATTAAACAGGCAAATAAACCTTCTTGTTGAGTAGCCTTCACTACTGTCCCCTCAACAGATAGGCTTACTAATAATTGCATCAGCATTTGAGAGAATTTTTACTGCCTTGGAGAATTATTCTGTTCTCTGAAATCTTCATAGAACTCTTACAACTGTGTGTTCCTGTTCGCTCATGTTGTGTACCAGATTTTACAT